GATCGTGGGGGCGGGGCTACTAAATTGTAATATGGTCTCTACTAGGCAGAGTGTAGTTTAACTAGACTCTGCACGCAGGGTAGATGGATGTATATTCTGTTCAGGAAACACTTGTCAGTCAATGTCACCTTGTATAATATTTGTTAGTTAACCCTTCATTGATTGTTCCTAAACGAATATTCACATCAGATTAGCAAATTGGTACAAAGGCCAAATCTTCAAATACCTCTGATTGTCTTTACAAGTTAATGTTTATTTAATTTCTTTGAACAGTCAATGGAGGATAAATATACTTTTGTATTAAGAAACTTAGATGAATATTATGATGGTATTAGTTGAAAAACATTATTCATCATATACCCCTATATTTTTGTTTAAAGCTGCCTCTATCTATAATATATTGGAAGGGATATAAAACATGTTAGGCATCATACTGACATACTGGCAGATACTTGGTTATAGCATGGGCTTTCAATTGAAATCCCATGGTTATAGCCTGTAGAAAATACATACCCATATTAGATTTTTTAAAACATACATAAGTCAGCAAATGTGGCATTGACAACATATACAGAAATATGCTGGGATCCATTACATACCAAAATGTTTTATTGAAGGTAATTGGTACATGAAAATGCAAAACTATGTAGATACCTGATTCTTCAATAAATAAGAAAAATAAAGATGAACATAGGTTATGTTTTATTTATTTAATGGTATGCCATCTAATTTGTGTTCACCGTGTTGTTTTTTATTATTTGATGTAATGCGTTATATTCCTTGAATAACAAAAACCCAACATCTATTTTAGAGTACTTTAAATGTCGCTCCTAGTCAATAAAAGAGCCAATATTAATGATGAAAACACATGAGTAACTGCATATTTCCTTTTGACGGTATACATGTGACATCTTATTTTTATCCAACCGAACGAAATTCGAGGGAGATATAGAAAAGCCGCCCAGCCGTTCGTCCATCCGTCCATTCGTGTGTCCAATTCGTGTTGCAATAACTCAAATACTGGTTGACACATTTCATTCAAATTTTATAGGCTTATGCCTTATGGGTGTAGGACCTCTGCTCGAGAAAGAAAAAATATAATCTTTGATAACTCAAATACTAGTGGATGGATTTAGTTCAAATTTTATATTCTGTTGCCTGGGTACAAAGGAGCCTTGCACAGTTGTCATCTTTTTGCAATGTCAACATGCCATTTCTTCTGAAAATTAATTTTGCCTTCATTTTTGTGAATTTCAATTTCTGTCGGCAGAGAGAGGGGGTAGTGTCACAATTGACCAATTATTTCAAAAAGTATATGTTTGGCCCCTATTGAGTTTAGTGTCAAAATGTAGCTTAGACATAGCTTTGGAACCTCAGATAGGCCAGTGAGGCCACATAAATCCATAACTCGAGATAAAAAGTCAGGCGTTTGCCCTTTTGCCCATTGACTAGTATGGTGACGTGAATTAGGGCAGTTTGGCCATAACTCAAAGACATTTTCAAGACGGCCACCATATTTCAAAATGGCAGCCATTTTTCGTAACATCTTTGATAACTCAAATACCATTGAATGGATTTGGTTCAAATTTTACATGCTGATGCCTAGGGACATAGGAGCTCGAGAAGGGATTTTCAAGATGGCAGCTAAATTTCAAAATGTCTACCATTTTACATAAAAGAACGTAACCTTCGATAACTCAAATACCAGTCGATGGATTTGGTTCAAATTGTATATGCTGATGCCTAGAGACAAAGAAGTTCTGCTCAAGAAGACATTTTCAAAATGGCCATTGAATTTCAAAATGGCCACCATTTTTGTAAAAAAATGTAATCATTGATAACTCAAATACCAGTTGATAGATTTGGTTCCAGTTTTATATGCTGATGTTTAGGGAAAACAAGATCTGCTTCAGAAGAAATTTCAAAGGCCTCAGCTGAATTTCAAAATGGCTGCCATATTTCATAAAAAAGGTAATTATTGATAACTCAAATACCATTGGACGAATTTACTTCAAATTTTATATACTGATGCCTAGAGATAAAGGAGCTCTGCTTGAGAAGAAATTTTCAAGGTGGTTGCTATTTATCGAAATTTAACTCAAGTAGGATTAATATAAATTGTATATCCTGATGCCTTGGGACATAGGAGCTCTGCTAAAGTAGAAATCTAAAGATGACAGCTGAATTTCAAAATGGCATAATCAAAAACATAATCTTTGATAATTCAAATTCCAGTGGATGGATTTGGCTCTAATTTTATATGGCCGCTATTTATCAAAACATGTTTTGTTCGAAGGGATTTCCTACTCCGTGGAGTTGCGGTTTTTCTAGGTATTTGATTTTTGTATAGATAAGTCACATTGACTTTTGTGTTGATGTAAGGTAATTATTTAGTGAACTCAAAAATGATGAAAAATACTGTCTTGCTGTCAGCATCTGCCTCTTTATTTTTTATGCCACATTATGCATAATGATACCACACAGGAAGCTGCTTGATGCAGACAGATCTTATTAAAATGCATTGGACCTCCAATACCATGCATAATTGAATAAATATTTTTATTATTTAATAAGCAAATCCTATAAATCACAAATGAAGTTACATCCTGAACAGAATCAACAAACAATAGAGAAACATTGTTAAGACCATTCTTAGTCATGGGACAATTTAAATATACACCATGTTTGCAGGTCTTCAAACAGAATGGGGCAAAAATGTTATATGGTCTTTGAACATAATATGTAAATTTATCTCATTACCATTAAGGTGCATGAATTCATATAGCATCCAAAAAGTCTAGACATCTTTTCATTATATTATTTCTCATATATACATGTATGTGTATCCTAAATTGTAGATAAAGAATATTTAGTATTAACATTTTACCTCTGAGGAATCAAGATTGAAGCTTTGAGGATCAAAATTGAACTATTGTTAAGTTTTGTAGGAATATTTGATATTAACGTTTTACCTCTGGGGGATATCTACTTAAGAGTTGATAATGGAACATTGATATATGGCTTTATATGCCAGGATTATGATCAGGGGCGCCTCAGAGGTGCTGCCCAAAGGGTCTTTGTGTATTTGGAGTTTGTATATATGAACTTATATGGTTAAGGAATAAATAATGATAGGCCATTCAATATGGTGAAATTCAGCACGAGTTGGACAGAATGTTGTACAGAGCACGAACCGAAGCCTATCATTATTTATTCCGATTCAAACATAAAAATTAGTAAAAGCTGTGTCTGTGAAACGGGCATGAAGGAAGAATACGCATGCTGTCAAGATTCTGAAATCGGCCGGAAAATTTTTAGAATTTGTTTGGGCTGTTCATTTTTACTCCCCGTTTTAGATTTTATACGGTGTATAAACTTAAAGTCAGCCATAGTTAAATAGTTACAGTAGTTACGGAGGGAGTAAAAAAGAACAGCTATCCCCGGACAGAGCCCCAGATGTGCAGATGAGATGTGACATCACTCAAAACAATGCAAATTGCAGATTGAATAGAGCATGGTCGTGCATCTATAGAGAATTAGAGAACGTTCTATATTGGCTATGCTGCATTCTGATTGGTTGAGAAATTCGAATAGAGCACGGTCATGTTTGAATAATAAATAGCCAATGCAAATTTATTTGGTTGTTGTTTTGTTTTGATGGTTTAGTATGATGGACCAGTTTTAATGATATGGTAGCTTTACTGGACCCTATCTTTTGCAATAATACCAATTATATTAAAGCTACGTGTATATTCGTTGATGAGGATATTTGCAAGTTTCACATATACAAACATGTATATCAGTATGTTCCATCAGAATTATCTGTTGCTGATAGACATCTTCTTAGTTCTACATATGTAGATGTATTTTTCTCTTTATCCCTAATAAATGAATTTAGCATCTGATTTAGTGCTGAATTATGAGGAATAAACAATAAATATAACGACTAGTTCACCTGCGGATTGGTTTATACTTTTTAATTAATGGAATACAGCCATTGTTATCGAAGTAAATGTTATTTAATAGGAATATAAACGATTCCTCTATCCATATTACAAGTTATTCATTATCACTAGCCTGCATAGCTCTGATTCTATGAATCTAACTTGAATGTTTAAGTTTGAATTTCAAATAGCCTAATGGATGTGTTTGAGCATTAACATTTGCTGCCTCTAGTAAGAATGACTAACAAAACACCCTTTGTGGGTTGTCGAGTTGGCCATAAGGGCTTGAGCGCTGGCATTTGAACGATGCAAGTGGCTGTTGTAATCACAAGCCTGCAGGTTCAAGATGCGTGTGCTCATTGTTTTTATTCATTAAGTATTTTCCAGCCCTCTCCAGAATGAAAATGATGGAATGGTTGAGTAGATTGCTATGATACATTTTACTAAATGTGAGAGTATGATGACCCAAAGACTTGATAGTCCCATCTCCAACCTCCCAGCTCTCACATTCTCACATTATGGGATTCATCAGAGTATATTCTATGGTTTTGAAAAACTTGTTTTTTTACACAATTACATGTACACTTCTTATAATATTTCAAATCATTGTAAATACCATTATGTGGCACCTAATACTCCCTTTTGGGGGTCATAGCCACTATAACCTGTATATATGTTACATTGATTTTGTGAGTAGAGCAAGAGATATGATGTCCTTTAATGAGTTTATAATGCCATGTTCACAATATGTGTATGTTACCATAATGTATAGCGAACATGAGAACAGTATTGTCTTGGTATAATTATCTCACGGGCTTTGTAAAGATTACCATATCTTTCCTACATATTATAGCACTATTAGATTTGTATCCTGTATATTTAAATGTATACGAGCGTTGGATGATTTAAGCTTCCCTATGCATAATTTGTCCCTATAGGATACAACAAAAGTGAAAAATATTTATCCTTGAAATAAGAGCTTTTTGCAGGAACATTTACATACAATTTGCGTGTGTAGTGATGCATAATATTAAATAGCAATCTGTGTATTTTCAGGTTCACTAAGCCAGAGCACCTTAGAAGACATTAAAGGTAATCATTTTGTCATTCATAAACAATACTACTTCCCATGCTCAAAATTATTCTATGTTCAATTACAAATTGTTGAAAAGTTCGCATATGTATCTTCTTTCCTCGCTAATTAAACTCTTTGTTAATCTGATTTGGATTTCAAGATAAAGTACCACCGGTGACATTTTATTTGTTCATTGTGCCATTTTATCTCTTTACCCTTTACTTTTTTTCCATAGTTTTGTGTTTGAATTAGTGTATGTCATATAAGGTAACCCATTAGAAGTTCCGGCCAGATGATGTTCCGGCAAACATGATTTTGTTATTTCCCATTAATAGAAGGTCATCTTTTGTTCATTCATGATTTAAAGCACCTAAAAGGGATAGAATAGAGTTGGTTTGGAAAATTTGTACCGTATATGAATTTATAATATCAGTTTTCATTGCTCTCAGTTTTTATTACTTTGAATCACGATTATGTATCCTCATTTTCCAAAAATCATTTTTTCTGTTTCAATTTCTGTTGACTTAGTATGATCATTTGTATACCAGTTAATATTTCTGGCTTTGAAGTCTTCAACTCTCCTGTTTGAGATTTTAATCCATTGTATCCACCCTGCATTATATACCACTGTATTTCTAGTGAGATGTTGCTTTGTGACTCGTATGGATCGTGCCAAACAGCTGCAAGATGCCCAGTTACAAGAAAGTGGTCTACAGGAAGTGGACCCCACAAAGGTCAGTGCCATCTATCAATGTTTTGATGAATATAAAATCTAGAAATTTTTGAACTGAACAATTATATTTAAATAAACACAATTTTCATGGGAAACACAGGAAGAAAAAGAAATCATCTAAGAGTACATCAGTCATTAGGAAAATTCAAAATGTAAAGGAGATCCCATCATGTAATTTTTGGACAATTTACCCAATATTTTTTTCAGAGTGTAGTGCTATCTGATGTAAATCTTCAAAATCATATCCTGGGCAAAAGATTCTAGCTATCTTATTTTCATAAATGGTGAAAAATAATAAAGTTACACATGTATACAGATATTCATCTTCGACAAAGACCATTCATTAGAAACACATACAAAATATATGAAGTTTTTGTTGTGAGATGTTGCAAAAAATGCGTTGTTCTAATAGAATGTAATATACTTGTACATCTACTTTTTAATACTTTGCACTTTTTGGTTCCAAGGTTATCAAAGGAGCCAATTAATTATGCCACCATTATTAGATTTTCTGAGTTTTTTTTATCTTTCTTGATTAGGCTAATCAAATTATTCTCCACTTCTAGGGGTTTTCTACAGTGGGCACTCAACAAGAGTAAAACACATGACACAAATCGTGTCTAATATCTTGCTTTCATCATGTCTGTTGATTCTGTTTACTGGGTTAATATTTTGATTAAATATCGGCCAAGTACATAGTGTTACTAAAGCTCACAAATGTTGTGGAGACAAATATAGGGGTAGGTTTTTACGATCTACAGTTTGACTAACCTCCCGCCTCCACTTTACTATATAATCCCCTTGAAGTCATTTAGAAATTAAGATACATTTACTAATTTTGAGCACATTTTAGAGATGTTACACTAAAATGTGATCTTTACTGTTTTTCCAGATTCCCACTCCTCCCCCAGGTGTTGACTACCCCTTAGATGGAGGCAAGATTCTACACATTGATGGAAAAATAAGGTAAAATGGATATAATTTTGAACTTTCTAGAGGTCATTTAAGGATATTCTTTGGGGTTCGGAATACACCCTATTTTAGAATCTTTTAAATTGGATTCCATTTTAAAAACTAGAAGGCCTACATAACTAAAAAGATGTCCTCTAACTTATCCAATATGCCATAATCTGATATTCATTTGTAGAGTAGATTCTCTCTACTCCACCCCCACCCTACTCACTAGGAAACTGGGGCTCCCTTCAAAGATAACTGTACAGTACATGTCATAGACACACTGATCCTAAAGTAGAATAGAGAGACATGAATTAAATTGATTGCAAGAACATTTCCTCACTTTTTGAATTGTATGGTAAAATCAGTCCACCATCGTGATCGGACGAAGTTCGGGGGGATATAGGGAATGCCTCCATCCATCTGTCCGGGCAATAATTCGATTTTGTACATATATATCCGATGGGAGTAGCAGTTCTGCTCGAAAGCCAATTTTCAAAATGGCCGCTCATTAAATGGTGGCCATTTTAGTGCCGATTTTACAGTGATTTAGGTACAATATCTAAAATATAGGACATTAAAAAAGCTAGAAATGTAGATATCGAAGAAGCACATGGCAGCCATTTTGAAAAATGGCTGCCTTTACAAGCTATTTTACGATTTTTGCTGTAACTCGAAAAGTAGTGGAGCCATTTTGTTCATATTTGGTATGTGAATACTACAAGCATGGCACACTGTCTAATGACACTTTTGGTAGAAGCCGGACATTTTGAAAAATGGCTGCCATTTTAACGTTTTTTACTATAACTCGAAAAGTAGTGGAACGATTTTGTTCATATTTGGTATGTGAATACTATAAACATGGCACACTTTCTAATTACACTTTTGGTAGAAGGCAGCCATTTTGAGAAATGGCCAACATTTTTATGTGTGTTATTTTATGTTTTTTACTATAGAGTGATTTTGTTCATATTTGATATGTGAATACTCATAAGCATGGCATGTCTTATGACATTTTGGCATGTAGACGGCCATTTTGAAAAATGGCGGCTATTGACATGTATGTGTGTGCTATTTTGTTGAAATTTAACATATACGCTTACTGTTTTTACACTTTCTGATGACAATTTGGCTATAATGGTGGCCATTTTTAAACTACAGACGTCGAAATGAAATAATAACCCACCTCCTGGTTGTTGTAATTGTTCAGAGAGATTACAATGAAGTTATATCATGGTCTTTGAAAAATAATACTTGACTATAATAAACCTTGCTGATAATAGAATAGGGATGATGTTGTTAGTTTTTCTCACAGGGCTGAATTCTGCCCCCACAAATGTCATTCTAGTGTGCTTCAATGATAAGAAATCTCCCACATTGATCATATTACAGAGATAGTTAGTGCTTTACGTCAGTTTTTTAGCAAGATAATACAGCGCAATGCTCAATAGAAATATACAAATGTCTATGCCTAATTAAATAAATGGGGAAATCTCAAATTTTGCACAAATATTTACTAAAAGGGGAATGTAACAAGTAAAGTATTCTTAAAAATGAACTGAAATTACTTGGGAAACTTTTTGGGTCTGTTTTCTCAAAAATATTATGAATCATAGTAGTATTTGATTGTTTTTTACAATATTGTTCTTCTTGATTGATCTCTCACAATGAATTTCTTTTTTTAACAATATTGGGTACCACTGCATCAAATTAAGAGACTAAATAATTTGTAATTGCCTTTTTTGTTAGATTAGAAACAAAACATCTTCAGATTTTAGACAGTACCACTGCAACAAATTAAGGGACTAAATACTTTGTGGTGACATTTTGTTGCAATTATGAGTATAACCAGATGGTGACATTTTGTGATGTAAATGTCTTGTTAATATTATATTACATTACATACATAAAAACTCTGCTTTTTCAACTGAAACTTGACAGGACAGAAATCTATTATGGACAATCAATCAACCCAATAGACTTTTTTCGTTAATTTCTCTATCAGAATTATTCCTTTCAAGCCATATAAGTGTTATTGCCCATGCTAATTTCTTGCATATTGAGTGCTTTAGAGTACTTCAGAGAAGTTCAATTTGTTCAAGAATGTGAGAAATTAGGTTGTTATGGTAGATACAATTTGGTAAATAGAAACATTAAGTTGATTACCACGGCAATTTGAATATGACTTCTCAGGCCAAGTAGGTAGCCAGTGCTCCTAACTAATAGATTTGAATATAAAATTGAGGGAAAAACATTTATGGATTTGACTTCTTTTTAAGAGAACTTCACCTTTACTTCTATACAGTACTATTTATTTGTATATGAAAAAACTATTTTAGAAAGAGATAATCCTTAGCCTTACATAGTTAAATTAAGTAAATTGGAATTATATTATATCATATCAATATTAAAGGCAGAATCAGATATATAGGGGATGACAAAATTACAAGCAACTTATATGATTGACCTACCAATCTATTCCCTACAATATCAAATACAATATCTCCAAAAAGATTCACAATATGTTATAAATTGGTGAAGTTATTAATGATTCAAAGTTCAGAAATTGGTGAAAAATGTTTAAATTCTCCCAAATAATAAGAATGGTAACCATTCTTATAGAAAAATAATGTATTATTGTAAAAATCTTTAGTTTTCCTAGAATAAAGTATGCATTTTGGGGATTTTTAGAAAATAGACATGACAAGGAATGACATGGGGCAGAAATATTCTATAAATGGAATAATTTTTTGTTTAGCCTGCTCGCTATATCTGATTCTCTCTTTAATTTCAAGTCGGATATTTTTGTACAATTAACGTTAGTGCAAGCGATATTGACCGATTATCCAGTTACTGGATTTTATACCTTCATAAGTAGCTGATGTGTTTCTCATATTCAAACTCTATTGAAAGGCCATAGTAGCTACTTTTGGGTACATTAAGATCAACATCAAAACTGAAAATTCTTGATGTAAGAGGCTAGTTATTTCTACCACTAACAATTTGACATCAGGGTACTTTCTCTTGAACTCATCACTGCAAACACAGACAGCAATTTGTCAAAGAAAACCTTAAAATGCATGTTTTCCAAAAACTGTAGAATATTGTCTGTAAACACGTGTTAGAATCAACTGGCAGATGAGTGATTGTTTGTGTAATTGACAATATGTTCTTCCCTCATGGTTTACTTAAGGTAGGCAGGATGCATGGAGTAACCTCATTAATTGATTGACACCATTCAACAGGCTTATAAGGCTCTGAATGTGGACAGGTGAAATTACTTAAAATACAATAGAAAGTTATAATATTTCATTAATGAAAATATGTGAAGAATTTATACCAGTTATTTGATTTCAGCTATCCAAATATTCAGTTGATAAAAAATTCAACAAAATAAGGATATAATATATTTCCAGTTTCTATTGTCTCTAATTTTTCAATCAAAAGCCAATCAGTTTGATGAATATGATTTAATCACTGATTTTTATCTGAAATTCCTAAGCATTGTGCACCTCAAATAAAGAAATAGAATGATAGGATTTATGATGATTTAGATATGACATTGTGTCATGCTGCCCTTCTAGTGCCACCATTAGAATAATGATTTGCTAATGACTTCACAATTTAGATTTGTGCCTTTCAACTCAATAATTGACTCTTCTTAACCCTAATTTGTTAGCGAAGAGAAGTTTGGTTAATTTCACATGCACAACAGAGGAAGTCAATTGATTTTAGTTTTTAATATAATGTTGTATGTCCTTAATGGTTTTGTCACACCCTTGGTGCAATATTGTTATCAGATTGCCAGGCAGGATAGCGGAGATATTATCTTTTGACAACTTGCCAAATACCAAAGTTATTTTTAACAATTTTAACACTGAGAGTAGAGTCTAGTTCTATAGATTACAAAGGGTTCTGTGAAATACCATGCCTTTTCTGGTTTGAGGACATCCTGATTTTTGAAAATCATCCAGAGGATATGAGGATATTTTCAACCAGGAAATAAATATGATACTTTCTTACGAATAAGCAATAGTCAAGAATATTCTTATATATTATGTAAAGCAAATTGTCTAGTTTTCAAGGTTATTGATTTATACTTTTCTTCATTTAGATAACAACAATTAGAAACAAAATGCACATTTTTATTACTGTCCTATTATGAAATCAAGAATAGCATAATTGATAGAAGATGTTTGTGATATGCATAAGTTAAAGAGAACCAGCAGATAAGGCCTCTTCTTTTTTATTTATTTATTTTTTATTTCTCTATTCAAACATGGCAACTACAATAATTAAAAACAGTTCAGCTTTTTTCACACCAAAATGGGATTTATTTTTATTTTTAAACAAAGATTCATCAAAATCTTGGTAGAAATATGCTTTTCATATTTGTAAGGCTCTGTTGCTCAACTCTCACTCGCACTTTTACTTTGCAACGTTACATATATTGGCTGGGCATTAAATGTCCAAAACTTATTACATTAAATTTGCGTAGTCAAAATCCATCATGTTCTTAATATACAGACCAAACTTCAGTATCATCCTTTAAAATGTGACCAAAATAAAAATGTGAGTCAAAAACTCATGTTCCGGACATTTCAAAATGACGCCCTTCCTTGTTTCACTTGAAAAGACGATCAATTGGTCCTCCATCTTCGTGGTAGATGGTGCACAAATATTTTTTTCCATAACCTGGTGGAGTCCTGAGACCAGCAGACTCTCAACAAGAATGTCCCGCTTTTGTTTGCCATAAAAGTGATCAACTATCTGTTGCGTGCAATGTCAAATGGAAAGTCTTTCATCCATGTCTGAACCCAATTTTCTTCACATTCTCTGTCAAAATCTTTTTATAAAAGCTTGTACAATTTTAATTGCAGTTCTTTGAGAGGGAAACAGTTTTGGGTTGTCCATTAGCCAACTTCTTCTCTAGAGAGCCTTTCCATTCAATTTTTTGATCACATTATTAACAGACCTTTTATCCAGTCTTTCCCCAGGAATTCATTCACAATTTTTGCCCCTCCAACACTTTTCATTGAAACATGTTGCGATCAATTGCTTGTTCAGCCCAGAGAAAAGCATTTTGATTCAGCAGAACCTGTGGCAGAACCTTATCTGGCAGAAGGGTTTCTTTGACACTAGACTCAGATAATTTTCAACACTTGATTAACATTTGTCACTCGGGTGTAGCGCGCGCTGTAGTCATGAAAGTTGACAGGTGATAGATACAATGTGAGTCACCAGAACGTGGATTTTTGAGGCTTTGTTTTCATTTTAATACTGTGTACAGATTACTCAAGCTATGACCTTGAAAATTGGTCAGTATGTTAACAGCATCATGCCCTTTGAATGTTTAAAGTTTGAAATGGTTTGAATAAAGAATAATGGGTCAATGTAGCATTAAAGTACGGCCCATTTTTTATGCCCACCCGATATACATATATGTTCATAATTTCAGGGAGAATTCATGTGAAGTGCTATTTGAGCGAGACAATGATGAGAAGTCAATCGCAACACTTATTCTAGATGCAATATTGGAGGTAAGATTTGATCATATGACATGTAAAGTTATTAATTCAATGGAATTGTTAAGTTTTCCCTGTGTCAGTAATGTAATATATCAGAAAGGTTTAACTACAAAAAAAAAAAATTTAAAAAAAAAAAATAATTTAAAAAATATAATTTTTTTCGCATTTTTTTCGGGGGGTGGTTTCAAAGGGGGGTGTGGTCACACCCATCGCACCCCCCCATCTGACAGCCCTGGAAGTAACATTCACCGTAGAACTGGGTCAAAGCTTGACTTTTTTACCTTGTTTTTATAGATTAACACATTTTCTAAGTTAAGTCTTTTACCCAGATGTTTAAGTGTTAGTATAATAGATTGAAGGTTTCAGAAAAGTATTCGTAAAATGACTTGAATGATGCTGTTTAGCATGACCTCTTTGTCTTCAGCACCTCTTTTCAGTGATTTATGTTCTGTAAAGAGTCTTGCGTTTTGAACTTGTTATCACAATTCTTTCGTTACCATCAGAACTGAATATCTGTCTCAGGGGCTCTCCTTGAATTATTTATCAAATAATGATGTTATCATTTTTTTACGGTTAGAAGCACGTTCAATCAAAACTTATGCTTGCTAAATTACCAATTTACGTTGAATGATCGATACAGCTATTATGTAACAAGGAATATAATCGCATTTAAAAATTAATGAAATTAGTAGCTGTCTGCAATATAATTTAGTATCCTGTCATAGCGATCTCATCATACGAGTTCTAATCTGTCTTCCTATTAGATGCAGTGCCTGGTAATTATTTGTTTGGCTGGCTAAACTTACACTGATTGCATTTTACCATAATTTTACATTTTACAGTTAGTGATATAACCTTTGACATCTAGTCAGTCATGACATGACTCGTGACCTTGTGACCTCTAAAAATACGTGGTAGCAATGAAAATAGTGATATGTTCATCCTAGTTATGTTTCAAACATATTGTGTGTTTTTATGGTCATTTAATTGCCAAAATTCAAGTCAGACACCCACCAAGTGTAATAAACACTCTACAGTTATCATGGTTTATAAGGCCGCTACTGATGAAAAGACTGCCTTTTTAATTGATAGCGTTTTAGTAGATATCAGTCTGCAAACCTATCCATGTAAATGATGAGAGTAGGTGTAGACTTGTGCAGTCTTATGACTGATACTTGCCTTCTTTGAATTCTCCAAATATTGCTAAGTTATACTGATTGTTTGCTTTGTTTACAGTCATCATGGAATAAATACCATGGAAATTAAAGGATGAATATCAGAATCCAATTACTCTGTAAATCCGAGAAGTGACATTTAATTTGCAGATCTGTAACTTCACTATTAGGTGAAATAAACCTCTTCATTTGAAACTGCTGGTCATAATCAAGTTTATTCTAATTAAGATTTCCTTTTTTAAACTGATATTATGATCAGTGATCATCTTGGCTTTGCCCACATTTGACAAGTCACCACCAGTGATAGGTTGAGTTTATATAATCCCAATCTTTATCAAATTATTTTATGTTCATTTTCAATCACAAATCCCTAATCATCAAGTTGGATAATTATTATAGTTCTCATTCTGGTACTTATTATTGCATCTTAATATGTGATGCACAATTTTGTGACTCCCAATGAAGAGATAACTCTTATATAAACAATAAAGTGCTGTTTTAGTGCCCCATTGATATCAGGAGGGTTCTGGCTGAGAACATAGTAGTGGTTGGTGGGACTGCAATGTTACCAGGCTTCCAACATAGACTGCTAGCAGAGGTCCATGAGTTGGTAGAACAGCAACGCTACAGAGATAAACTGGCCATTAGATCATTCAAGCTACACAAGCCACCCTCTAAGGCTAATTTCACAGTATGGTTGGGAGGTAAGAAGCTTCAGTACAGAGTTACTTATGTGTCAAGAAAGTACATACTCAGTTGAGGGAAAAATCGAATTACTGTATATGTACCAAGAGTGAAAATACACTCCATCTTCCTGATTTTAAGTTTTATGTCACCTCCTGTCTTCTATATTGTTCCTGAATTTCTTAAAATAATGACTTTGAGAGGAATGTGTATTGTATTGATGCAATTCATATTACAATAATAATAAAACATGAAAATTCGAAAATGAAAATTTACCAAATTTTTTCGAATATTCATTATGGCCCGACAATACTACTGCTCGCCATTATGACATCACACATTACTCATATTACCAGGTGCAGTGTTGACAAATACATACTGGGTGAAATATTGACTTTGTTCACAGTTTTTAGAAGAACTTAATACAGCCCGTCAAATTCATATTAGAATAAAAAAAATGTACTAAAGGGATTGGGGTAATGGGCTACTTACGTTTCTTTGGTATCATTGAATTTCTACAAAATCTTGAAAATTCAGAATGCAAAATCACAAAGATCATGAAAAAAAGCTACTTCTCCCGATATCAATAATTCCAAGACTTCAGTTAGTTGTGAAATCCCCTCTAACAATAAAGTATACTTACATAAGTACATTTGTATTGTTCTCGGAGTAAACCTCATCAGCAGTGCCCATTACCATGCACATTACATTGATTATGGATCACTCTCGACAATATAGGCACCTTTCAAAAATAAAACATTCCTTGTAATTAATTAAAGGTACAGAATATAGATCAATGTTTTCACCTACATATAGAGGTATTCAATCAAATACCTAATTACAAACATGTTTTTGTATTCAGTATGTTGACACATTTCCTTGGAGCTCAAAAATAAGATTTAGTTCCACAACTAAGAGCCCAATCAGTTTTAAAGTACAAAGTCATCAATTTTTTAGATAATGAGAGTAATGAGAGTACTCGTGCATAGATGGCAGTTCACTCATTTTCCCGAGTATGTTGTTCTTCACACCTCACTCATTGGTTTATTCAGAGGCATCGGACAATATTTGAAAAGGAGATGTGGCGCTGCAACTGATTGTTCTCAGGGGTGGTCAGGGGGATGTAGAGAAAAGAGAAAAGTTTATTTCAAAGACATTATTTGGTGCAATTTCAGCGTTTTTAAGGATTATAAATAGTTATTTTCTGATAAAACTAAATTGATATATGATTTGTCAGATGAAGTTTTAAAGTTTTCACTTTATAAATCAAATTAATATCACATTTTCTCTTCATTATTATTTACAAACAAGTTTTAAGATTAAATATAAGACATTCAATATTTTCAATGAAATTTTGGGAGATATGTTTAAACAATTTTTACATGTTAAAATATACAATTTAACCTACTGAATTTTTCATCATCTCTTGACATTGTTTTTATGAACCTATAGAGGTTGAGCATCTATGATGCAGCCTCATTAGCTCGCAATGATTTGCTTGTTCTTCAAAATGTTTCTCTTAAGAATATTCTAAAATGGTACTTAGCTGTCTTGTTTTCAGGATCTCAGATGTCTTAATTGAATAGCTCTAATACTTATCAAGTCAAGTTTCCAATTAAAAAGAAAAACCAATTACAGCTTTGAAGAATCTCAATGTCAAGATGACTGCATAATGACAGGCCAAGTATGTTACATAATTGGGGGTTTAATAACTGAGACCTTTTGCTATCCTATCTTTTAAATTGTACATCATGGATGTATGTAATCTGATTTACAAATAGGGGCTATCTATTCCAGTGTGACATCACTTACAAGAAAAACATGTCATTCCACCAAGAGGGGGAGAAACCCCAGGGTTCAAAGATGACATACGCTTATAATGTAAATCTGTATTGAGATGACATCGTCGCTGATTAGTTTAGCGAGTCGATCATTGATTGGTTTAAAACTATGTCAATTTGAAAACCAAGATGGAGGGTAAACAAATATACGTTCTTCCAGGAAAGGAGGTGCGCGAAGGAGGAAATTGTATGTCATCAATTGAATCATGGGATTTTCCCTCCTCTTCATTCCACCTACAGTAATTAATGGATTTGAATTACTCTGCATTAGTATGTTATCTCCTGCCTGTCTGCTAACTTTGTAAACTATCTGTTATTAGGTTTAGGCCATTTAACAGCCATAAACAGAGTGCTGTCACATTTCCACCTGCGGAGGAAAAGTTATTGTCGATTTGGAAAAAGACTTAATGATATCAGGCAGTGAAAAATGACTAATTATGACATAATAGGAAACATACACAAGACTAAATTGAAGTCTTTGTTGTTTTTTTATTTATACAGTGCCTCAATGCTATAGATAATCCCTGGATTATAAACAACCACTACATTTTGCAATGTTTAAAACTCCATTAAAATTGTTGTTTCTTTGGCAAGTCTGGTAGCTTTTTAAGGCAATTAACAGGAATTGTTTAACGCCTTTAATTTCCCTCTTGTACTTCTGAATTATTGAGAGAGAAGTTGGGCCCTAGACAGGCTTCCAATAAGTCATCCGGTAAACATATCATTTTTGTGAAACTAATCTAAGACCCTATGTTCTTTTTCCATTTTTTCAAAGAAACAATGTTTCATCACTTTTTGGCAGTAAGCAACATTTTGATAAAAAATGAAAAATGACTGGTGGTCAAAGTGTCATAAATCTGAGTTGCCATGAAAATAAAGAAAAAATGCGAGATTTTTAGCATTCTAATAAGAAATGTACGAAACAATTTTCACCAGCATCTGCTATAAATTCTGTTTCAAAAATTCCACATTTTGACTAGTTCAGTTTGACTTTCTTTTGACCTTATTTGACCTTTCTTTTGGAAATGTTAGTATATGTATATGTCTGAAGAGAAATTTAAATGGTCTTTTATATGGTACTTTTTTTCTCACCTTTATACTTTTCAAATTCCAGGAGTTGGTTAATGTTTGTTGTCAGGTTGAAGATTAAAGGCTTATCAATCATTAAAGTTCATTTTTCAAAAGACAATGCTCAATTTATTATGTTTGGAGAAAGGGGTAAAAGTCAATAACATTAATCAGAATAAATCTATAAATATATTGTAACATTTTTGGAATTCAGGGAGGGAGGGTCAATATAAAATGTTCATAATTATGTTTTGAACAATTTCAATAGGGAGGTTGAGGTTTCAATATTAAAATATTCCCCGGTGTTATTCATTTGGAATTATTGGCGTCATGGTATGATATTACTCATTTATGTGCAAGTATGGCTCCACCTCCCTAATATTTTGAAATGGTCCTTTAGATGTAGAATTGAGTTTTGAAATACACATTCAATTTTTAACCAAGATGTTATTTTAATTGTTTTTTACTCCCTTGAGTATGTTACCCCTTGTTTGAGCAACTAAATCAAACTAACATAATTTGTCTCTATGGCACTTAATGCCCAACATTATTATCCAAAAAATGATGTTTGAATGCAATTTTAAAGCTATATCGGTAAATATATTGATCAGCCATCCATCCATCTTCCCAAACATATCAGCTTTCTCAAAATATCCTCTAGATGATAAATTATCTTTTTTTGCCAATGTCATTGACTCGAGATGTTCATTCAACAAGTCCGTGATGTAGCGAGTTAAGCTCGATCCAATCTCATGGTCTCATTTGTCTGTTTAATAGTATTAGATGGTATTTCCAGAATATTCACCGTGACACCAATTAATCGTGAACCCGATATATCTAAGGATGAGAACATCTATTGAATTAGTTTCAGTTGATTCTTATTAGAATTCAAGAAGGGAACAACTGACACCAAACCAAACTAAATTGAATAAACTGATCAAGGTTGTATACTGTCTCATGCCTAGCCTTGTATATATAAATGGTAGACACAGTAAAACCTGTCTAATCCAAACACAACTGGGACTGGCCAAAAGTTTTCAGATTTCCAAGTTTTCTAATTTTAATGTATCTTTATATTTGAGTCAGAGGTGTTTTTTTGTAGTAAGAGAGGTGATCAGATATACAGGTTTTATTGTTTATGGCTAATTTGAGATATTTTTAGGATCATGCACTAGACTGAGTATATTCCCGAAGTCAAATTTCCAATGGAGGGGAGTTTGAAGGTGGTCTGTCAGATGTTCCAGGTTATATAGCTGTCTACATTATTTTTAGTCTTAACATCTGGGAGGCGTACAACTTCACCTTTTCTCACACACTTCTTTTAAGTTTCTCCCTGTTTCAACACTTAAGAGTTGAAAAGTGAAAAGTTTACATCCCTCATAAACGTAGGAGATGTTATAACACATACAGGGTGACCCTAAATATATAACCTCCTAATTTTGGAATTACTTTTTCAATTCTGGTGGAATTTCTTGAGTTTTCTGTGTAGAGTCCAGTGGGTGGACAACTTAGGTACAACTGTACTAAAAGATGTTAAAAAGCATCATCAAATTGATATAAATCTGTAAATTCCTTATACTATTTGACCTCTTATTTCTATTTACCACAATAAAACATGTAATGGAAAAAAAGGATGCCTGTGTCAGTGGAACACATTTCCAAGTCTTGTTACCAATGAAATTTACCTAAAACGAGTCACTGTAAGTTGAACATTTGCCATATGGAACACTTTTTAAGGTACCAAAGGTGTTCAACTTACTGAGGTTTTGATGCATCATGCAGAAATTCCCTTCTGTTAGAGGAAATGCATATTTAATTGCTTTTTTAACAATGTAGATTATTTTACTTAATTCAGCTCTCATTTGTGCAATTTCAGGTGCAATATTCGGTGCCCTGGAAATCCTTGGATCGCGATCCATCTCAAAGGAAGCTTACAATGAAAACAACACAATCCCTGACTGGTCGACTCTATCAGACAATTTGTTATCTGAGCCGGAACCTTCCGAGAAGTTGCCTGGTGTCAAGTAATTAATAGAGACAATGTGCGACAGATGCCAAACTTATTTAATTGCTTCGTATGATATTTGAGAGCACAAACTGATTATTTGAACAATGTATTTAATTGACTGGCCTTGTATTGGGTGAAAGTTGTCAACATGGGAGTTGTCATAGTAACAATGTTTGTCGACATAATTGCGGTTGATGTTCTTAGCTGTGTCTTATGCCATTCACACCAAATGACTCAAAATAAGCTCATCTATAATTTATTTACAAGGTTCAATCAGCAAAATGTCCAGCTCTCTTAGGTATGTCTAGACAGGGTTAGCTTTTTAGCTAATTGATATTGTGTAGCATAAGACAGTGTTAACACCCTGGAATCTCTTGGGTTGTATTGATTTTAAGCAAAAGAACGATTTCCAAGTCTCTGGTGCGAATAGTACAAATTGATACCTGGAGGCATGTGCTTGAGAGAATGGTGTTATAGCAACGTAAAATGCTCATATCAATCAGCACATTTGAGCCAAAGGAGACCCACGTGAAAAGGAAAAAAATCTTTCTGCAAAAATGAATCATTAGTAGTATTCAATTGCTATTAATGGATACCGCTGGGCATCTTTCACAAGGTACTTACAAATATTACCTTGTGCATCTAATCGACCATGTTAAATGGATGGTTCATCAATCTTCTTATTGGGCTTCATTCCATTTGTCATCCGAAAAGCATAATCTCTCACATTTGCTTTTATGTCATATTGACTCGCCGCTCTCTATGCTTTAGAATGTACTTTGAATTAGTGATAAAACTGGAAAAAGTAATGAGGGTTTTTAAATAAGATAAATATTTATCCGCGTAATCCCGATCATGATCAGAAGCTTATCTATGTTATTTAATATAGAAGAAATACAACCTGTTGTGTACACTTTAACGTTTCACCATTTACATTGAATGATGACACGTCTGTCTGTGTTTTCTATGAAGCAAACATGTTTACTATCAATCATGGATAACAATACGTATATGCATAATTTATAAAATCTATGCCAACTTGACCGGAATATATTGAGGTAATGAGCAATGTCATGTCAGGGCTATAGCTGGGATGTAAATTTAGGTGAGGCAAATTTAAACTGGCGAGGCAAATATTTAGTAAAAGGAAACATAATCATATCATATCAGTAGACTTCGTTTCGATAAAAATCGGCATCAGCATTTTTGGTAAAATATTGAGTTGCCACGGGCTTGCCTAATGGCTATGCCCATGGAGATTTTCAAAAAGTAGGCTTTATGAATAGAAAAATTCCAAATAGGGAATTTGAGAGGTTAAAAAACAAGAAAACTTTATCATTATAAACAATTTTAGTCTTCTATTCTCTTCCTTCTCGAGATGCATTACAAAAGGATTATTAAAATGCAACATTTTAACTTATTATTACAAAACTGTAATATATACTCAAATAAAGTACATGTAAACATTATTATAACATTGTTTTGTCAGGAATTCACTGTGTCAAGGCCCTCGATATCCATGTATTTACAGCTTTTCCTAGTCTTGCTTCAAGGACTCCCTTCCCCGGATCTACTTTACAACCTGTTGTTGAAATAGATGGGAGGCCAGGGTCTGTAGTTAGACCTAAATGAATTCCCTTGGTATGTAGATTTAAAAGGAAACTTGAAGATACATGTATGCATGTCTGACCAAATTGCCTAAAAGGATCTCATGAGAGAAAGAAATTGCTACTCTTGATAGGTTGAGTGTTCACTCCTAGTATTATGCAAATAGACCCCAGGTGTCCTGATCTTACAATTTAGCCATTATACAAATTGCTGAATACAAATCATTTGAAAACCGACCCTAACTACATGGCTTAAATAGAAGGTATTCGATGTCTATGATTGGTCGTGATGACTTTCAGACATCAGACTGCTACAGAACCATTGAGGTTCATTAGTGAGTTTGGGTGGAAAAGTTCAACATGTCTTCACCTCAAAGTTAAATAACATTCTATTTTTTTGTCAGTATTAACGCCTTTATTCATAATGCTGATCAGGATGTTCGGTGATTTAGGATATGTTGTTATCAATATTGCATCCTTCTTTTGACTATGTAAAAAATTTATCAAAATATTGCTTAATTATGTGTGAGTACAATGTTTACACTCTAGCAAAGCTAATATATTGTTTGTTCAAACGGGGTAAACTTTTTTCGTTTTTTTTATACACAGTGTCTCATAGTTTGGCAATGGTTGGACATGTACATATTCTTTTAAATATAAATAAATAAATTGTGTAAGTGTGACACTTAAATAATTATTTTAAACTAACTTAAGTAATATGTCTCCCATACAATGAAGTTTAAAGAGTATAGAAAATCACATAAACACACAGTGCTTGTTAAACATGCAGCCCATCTGGGAAAAAGTCTGATCAGATGCATATTGTCATGGTCTGAGATTGTGAAAGTAATTTCAGGGTATTTAAAAACATAATATACATGTTTATCATGATTTTACATGTTTGGCACTTACGCAACCCCAAGATAAGATTCTAAATAAAAAATAGGTAATACTTCAATTTTGATATTTTTGTTAAATTATCAGACAAATGTCAAGCATTTTTCAAAATTTCAACATTTTTCTTGATACAACTACTTTGGTAAATGGCCCCAATCACGATGAAGATACATGCGGAGTTGACATGACGAAGTAGAAGGGCATTTTTCTTTCATAATCTGGAGTATAAAATATAAGGCAGTCTGACTTTTCACAATACGTGACTTGTGTGGTATGCCAGAAAATATCAAGACCTAATTCACATTTCATGCAGCTGCCTTCTACATTTTGCTGACATCTTTTCAATGATATATGATACTTGACGTTCAGTGACATTGCTGCCTTTAGTTCATATAAAAGAGACATCTTTATAAACACAAGTTTATCTGTATCCATATATGGAATACTTCATTAGATAATTATACCTGCCATCTATGTGATACTATCAGAAAAAAGGATAATCTCAAAATGTCAATAGATGAAGAAAAGTTAAAAATGTTGATTTGGCTTTCATTTGAATTTTTAAAAAAATGAATATTCTTCACTTGGGGTTTGGTCAATCTACATCAAATTATAGGACGTTTTTTCGAGATATCAGGGTTCATTTATTGTAACTCGTGTTTGCTACCATTAACTCAGTCCTGAAATAATGGACACACGCTCATGTTGAAACTATTTTTTTAATACCAAATAATGTAATGCTAGGTACCATAGGACCCAAATGAGTCGTAATTTGGAACAAAATCACAGGTTTTGAATGGACCATATTTATGGGTCTTACCTTTCGGTGGATGGATATGGAACCTCATACCTTAATGCATAGGAGTCATACCTTAACACATGAAAAGAACACTGAGAAAGTCATTTATTAACAAAGCTTGGAATTAAAATTTATTTTTCATCACATGGTAAAGATACACTTTCATGCATTATATATGCATCCATAATATCAAATGAGTACCTAATCAGCGGACAATAGTAAGCATGATTATTCTTGCCTTGCAACAAGTTCTTACATTAAATCCTTACCCACACAGACATAGGCGCTGACTGGGAGTGGGAGGTAGAATTTGATGTGAGACAAGAGATTGTTTAAATATCAATTACACAGCTGATTTTCACAACATTAACTGGAGATCTGCAGTTAAAGGCACAATTATAAGCACCTATAATATTCTTTAATAATTATTAAAAATACTGTATATTAATTTTTGTCACATCATCTTAAACATTGAAGTAATTTATTAATATAACTCCAAATAAGGGCATATTAAAAACAAGAGACACAGTAGTAGTACAGTAAAACTTGACTCATCCGAACGCCACTGAGACTGGCAAAAAGTGTTTAGATTGGTGTGTGTTTGTTGTGTTCAACTTTCAATGGATGCCTATGGCATATTAAAAAGTGAGACCAAAAGTTTTCTCAACTTTTCATTGAGACTAAAGAGGAATTTAGATATACTCGTTTTACTGTATTTACCTTTGTGCCATGATTCAATGTAAAACTACAATTTCTTTCAAAAAAATATTGGAAAAACTTGATTTTATAAAAAATCTACCGGAAAAAAACTTTTTTTCAAAAATCTATTTCAAATCCTCAGTAAATATTTGAAATATCAAGTATTTCTAGGAATCTCATTATTAAATTGTTGCAGGAACGGCGATCTTTAAATTAAAATGAAACCTCATCCAGGAACTCAGGACAACACACAAATGTGGAAATTGATAATAAAAAAACTTCAAGATGTTATCAGTAAACAGTGCGTAGTTGTCTTGGAATATATTAGGTACAGTATATAATCATGAAGCTCTGTACTAAGGTATCTCTGTACAAATGATATATCGTTTGAAAGCAAATTATCATAACTAGTTTTCCATGCATTATAGATTTTCAATACCTCAATATGGTGAGATATATTGCCCAAAATGACAAAGTAAAATTAAACAATAATTTTCAAAAATGCAAGAAAATTTAAATAAACCCTAATGCATGGAACAACAAACATGATAAGATTTCAAATCAAATCTTTTGTACATTGTAAGGATATCTTTGACCATCAAAATGTCATGTGATACCATTGATTTGATCAATGGGAGATTCCAATTCATTTCAAGTCCATTCTCTGAATCATATGTTTAGAAGTAGATGTACATGTCTATGAAATCATATGTTACATACTGTATCTTTGTACATGTGTATTGCGCCTTGCCCAATCATTTTTTCATATGTCAGCATCTTATATATATTATAACCATCAAACAAACCCTAAAATTTCACAACACTGATAATATAACACAACAATTACAAAGTAGACTCTGTGTCTATGAATTTGGGACTTGTGATATTAGTACACTAGAGATCCCAAGACACATCAAATCTGACACCAAGAGGAATCTTAGAGGATAGCTTGGTGGTGAGTACTGCATACACTGGCATAGTAACTTCACGGGTTGTATCCAAAGCCCCGTTATAATTGAGAGGTCGCGAGCAAGTTCCCGCTGAAATCACGAGCAAAGTCCTTTTTTATTTAATTCATCTGGAAATATGGACCAAAAAGGTAAGAATACGCATTACCGTTCCTTGATACCTTAGGTATACTTTCAGAACATGTATATCTTCACAAACAATGACATGAAAGATAACTATTTTTACTGGCATGGAAGAAACGGGCGTCAATATGCACGTTTGCATAATTTACTGTTAACATATTACTTTTATGGTTAAAATAGAGACACGAACTACGATATACATATCTCATTATGAATATTGGACCAACATTGTATGTATTGATAAGTTTGTTTTCAAAAACATCCACTGTGGGGGGTGAAATACATCATTGAAGGTGTGCCAGTGGCCCCGCTGAAATTATGAGGAAGCCCCGCTGAAAACATGAGGAGGTCCCGCTGAAAACAGGAGCAGATATCACGAGTACCCGCTTCGATCACGAGGAAAGCTCATTACTATTACATAAAATATTGAGGTTCTTTAAATAAACGTACACGAAAGACCAAGTTAAATACTTCTAATAATTACTGTATACTGTTTCATTCTAGGGCTAATGTTTCCATTCCAACTTCAAGCCACCAGAGATTTCGTCAAACATTTTATAGAGTTGCATCCATATCAAAATGTATAGGAGAAAGGTGGATATCATTTCAAGAATGAATTTAATTGAAGCCTGAGGTTCAGGGTAATGAGTCTTTTATTAAACAAAGACACCCCAAGTTGCAAGAAGATGAAATTTAGAGAGAAAGGAGAATCACAATGTCTCCATGATAATTCAGGTTCTACTTTTATAATTTAACAATAACATTTAACAATAACATTCAAGTTTTTGTTTTTAAATATTTATTAAAATAATGATGATTTGTATTCCATACCTGATAATTTTCAGGGACATATCAACCGGGAATATATTCCATATCCGGGCAAATATTTTTCGTATGTCCCGCTCAAACGTGGATCCGGGACATATAAATCGTATGTCCTGCATAAGCCATTTTCCTGGACATATTGTTACGCGGTAAACACGATACAAATATATGTCATATTCCACAATGAATATGGCATATTCACTTGTGGAGTATGACAGATTCACCTGCGGTATATGGCATACTCACCTGCGGTGTAAGGCATATTCTGCAAGTGAGTATGACATATTCTGCGAGCATGGGGTATTTACTGAAATCAATGTATCACATATTCAATACGGAATATACCATACTCACCTGCGGAATACGCCATATACCACAGCTGAATATGGCATATACACCCGTATCACAAATACCACGCAACCATGAATATATGCCATATTCCGCGTAACACATACGATGTTACGCGGAGTATGGCATACATTTATGGTTGCGTGGTATTTGCGATACGGGTATACAGTATATGCCATACTCACCTGCAGTTTATGGCATATTCCGCAGGTGAGTATGCGATATTCCGCCGTGAATATGCGATACATTGATTTCAGTGAATACCTGATAGTCACCTGCAGAATATGTCATACTCACTTGCCGAATATGTCATATACCGCAGGTGAAAATGACACAATGATTACCCATTTGTTCAATCAATGCATACTTCCGTATCGTGTTCTCATTGCTTAGTGGGTATGCAATATACTGCAGCTGAATCTGTCATACACCGCAAGTGAATATGCCATATTTATTGCAGAATATGACACATATTTGCATCATATTTTCCGCGTAACACGTGCGTTTAACATAACCTACGATTAATTGTTAATGATGAAATTATTTGATTATTCTTATTTGGGACTCATAATCGGATGATGTACTCCTTTGTTACTTACATCTAGCAGTTGATCCATAAATTGCCTTTTCAAACGTGTGCGCCATTGGTGCTGAATCCTCTAAGGTAGTAATATACTGAACTAAAGTATAATGTAACTTCAGTGAAATATAAATATATATTGCATACAAAGAAGAACGAGTTATTTGAAACTTGTCAAAAGTCGTGGAATGAATTTAAATCTTCTCTTGGTAAATTTCTCGATGGAGTCAGGCCAAAATACATTAAGTGAAATGGTTTTATTGGAATCATGCTCGTAGCCAGCTTTTGGTAAGGGGGGGGTGCTCGAACCGATAATAACATAATAACAATGACAATGATATATGATATACATGTGCTCTGTAGAGTATCAATAATTAATATATTTATGACGTTGGCTACAGCCGTGGCAGATTTGCAAAGTCAAATCGGTCTTCACTCCATTTTAGAGAGCCACTTGCTCCTGATTTCAGCGGGACCTCCTCATGTTTTCAGCGGGGCCTCCTCATGTTTTCAGCGGGATCTTTAGTTTATTGCTCATGGTAGAAGCGGGGCCTCGGGGGATATGCTAAATTTGAAATATATAATTTTTTGTGAAACTTTAGGAAGTGAAACTCACAATACCTTCATTTCATATTACTATGACCATTTCAACTGAAGGGCAATGACCTTCTTCAGCTATAAAATATAGAAATATACGTATAGATAAAGATTCAAGATGATACATTCTCTCTCCAATTATCGAATAACAAAACTCAGAACATCAGCTCGTGATCCTTTTTTGCAGAAGTTGCTTTTTAGTATCAATACCATGTAGTAATTGAGTAAAATTAAATGAAAACGCTTTTTACAACATACAATTTAAGTAAACAAAAGATAACCCTTCTTTTCTTTTAATTGCTCGCGATTTCAGCGGGTATTTGCTCGCGATTTCTAAATCATAGCGGGGCTTTAGATACTACCCGTGAACTTGGATTAATTTGACATGTAACTTGGCGATTTTTCGCATAATTTTAAAACATTATTTAAGTCCAACCAAAGCTACAGTGTCTACATGCATCATCAACTATTGGGAAATTTGAGAATTGTTTTCAATTGGATCACATCACTGGTGATCCACTCGATTACGCTGGTTACCGAAACAGTTCATTTCGATAAAAAAAATTGTACATTTTCTTAAACATATGATATTGACACATGTTTGCAATAAAAATCTCATGGGAATTCTGCCTACAAAGCATGAAATAAGAGAAAGATTAAAATTGTACCTTCGAGGCTCCGACATTTTGTTACCGAGCTCGTTTCGGTAACAAGCGTAATCGAGTGGATCAACATTGCACATATCATACATTGTTTGCATTGAAATATCCTAAATTATTTTCACAGAATCATAGGACCTCTAGTACACACATGACACAAATTGCTTCTCAAAATCAAATAAGAGATCCAGTTATAAATGATTCAAAGCTATGTTTTAAAACCCATTATCTTATCTAAATAATTTCTAAACGTTTCTGGAGTCCCTGGTGTGTATGGCACTAATGTCTTTAAATCCATTGTTTTTAAACATTGTTGCAAATTGGAACATGTGGTATAATATAAATGATTGTCCTCCTGTAACTGTGCTGCTAACTCAACTTGGTGATTTCCCATCAGCTTCTCATTTATCACAACTATTAGAGGACGCTCTGCTCCTAGCGCTTCAAACACACTACCAGCGCCAGCATGACTTATTACCAGACTGGCATGTTTGATGTCATCTGCGATACTGTCTTTGTAGCGATAATGCTCAATATTAAGTCCAGATATCATATCGGCTTGTGGTTCATAGTCTCCACGTCCTACTTGAAGCAGTAATTTTCCATACCCTCCTTTGTTTAGGATCTGACAAGTTTTAGGTTGGCATACAGATTTGATGAGATCATCGAATGATGTTGTGCCAACAGTGACAAAAACATAGTTTCCAGGCATGTTTCCTTGGTAACCAATTCCTGGAAATATAACAATTAAAATGTTCAGAGGCCATTACTATAAGTTTTTGTAAATCTTTATTTCCTAAATGAATTGTTCCAGTTGTTATCTAGAAAATGGCAACTCCTTGGAGTAGCAAATCCCAACGAACAAAATATTCATGAATCTGTATATGTCACAATCTAATATTTACTCTACCCTTGATTTGCAGATAATAAACGGCAGATATTGGAGATATATCAGAATATATTAATCAATATTAATATTTCTATTGACCACATAGCTTTATGGCAATCCAAAATCTGATTCAAATGAATTTAGTCATGCTAGAAATTAAACACCCATCATACCCTTTAATACAGGAGTCAATGGGAGGAAAAAATGTGACTGGAAAAAGTGTTTGGAATGTTCAGATTAGCCAGATATTTGGATTCACAGTATAAAAGGCATATACATACATGAGTCTTTTTTCTAGAACACTTCTCAAAAAATGGCAGAACTACAGTATAGGATATAGGGACCCTGCATCAAACTTCAATGTATGGGGTCACTTCATCACGAGGCTAGTCGAACATGGGGCTATTTTAACATTGGCATATGATTTCAATAGGCACCATGTTTGTTTCTTGAAAATTTCATGAATCAAATCTCCAATGGGCAAGATCTTACTGAAACATGGGCGATACCAGAAATATGAATTTTCAGCCATGGTCAAAATAACCCCATGGTCGAAGTAGCCCCGGGATGAATTTCTACGTAAGACCCTTTTAGGGTAAAGGGGTGTAACGTCGAAGTGTGGGGTAAAGTAGGTAAGGAGACAGGGTAACTTCGACACTTATTAGAAGTAGAATTTCTGTTTTCCGCCATGTTTATTTGATTTCTGGAAAAATTAAAATCTCGCAAAATCTCGATCCATGCTAGAAAAAAAACATGGCTTCCCCAAGATCGGAAATTAGAGTAAAAAACTACAAGGTGTCGAAGTTACCCCACATGTCGAAGTTACTCCAAAATGGTGTCGATGTAACACCCCCAGGCCTGTATAGCCAGGATTTGCCAAGTTCACTTTTTGGAAAATTCCAGGGGGGTTCACTTTTGACAATCTTGGACCAAAAATGGCCAAAATCACTTAAAATGTGCTCAGAATGGTTAAAAACTGCATGATTTTGAAAGAATTTTTGGCCGGGGGGGGGCTCGAACCAATCGAAACCCCCAATCTGAACCGTTTTTTTCGTCTTAGGATCGTAGAATCATGTAATGGGATTTGATAATGCTACTCAACCTCTGAGTCTATTTACTCTGTTCATGGGCTTTCAATTACTAGTTCAGTTGAAAGCCCAAGCTCTGCCTACAACCCGGAAGTGCATGTACTGTACAATAATTTTACACTTTTTCATTTCAATTATTGGATTCACAATTTGGCACGAGCTAAAACTTCCCACCTACCTTCTCTGCTATATGATGTGACTTTGAATGATTCTTCGTTGACTGTTCAATTGATGATTTCCTTAAAATACAACCTAAACTATGAAATATGGACTGAAAATAAAATGTTGTCAGCCATGTTGATTGCAAAGGATTGTGGGTAAAAAATCAATTAAAACTTAATCAATGGCATTTGTTAGCAAGCAATCGATATCAAAAAGTATAGAAATTAATAATTATTAGGATATAAGCAGAATGCTATTCGTATATATTGTGATTTTTGATTAATTATTGAAGCGCCATCTGGTGATGGTCACCTTGACCTGTGACCCACAAATGATCTTGATCTAGAACCGGAGTCACCTTGCATTTTATCTCACTATTCATTGATAATGAACTGTCAGTAGCCTGGCTACTGATTGACAAAGACAAACGAAGACACGGGGACTCAGCAGAACAGCATATTCAAAGGTAAGCTTTGTTTTATCTGTACTTTGATGACATTTCTAGTTTCAGCTAATGGAAAAATCCCATTTATTCTGCACATGTAAAAACAATAAGCTTACTGTAGGCCATAAACAACAGCAGGCCATGTCTGCTAGCTGGACAGGTTTAACTGTTCTAGTGTTACATAGTTTTGCTTTGCCTTTGTCCACGAGAAAAACCTTGCGACTAGGAGTCCCAAAATACACTATATCGATACGAGCAACGATATTCACCTCACGATCAGGCAATGATACAACTTTCTTTTTTTTTAATAAAAACTTCCCGAGATGACCAAATGCTCAAGCAATCAAGCAATATCAAGCAATCGCAGGACTCCTCCTTGCAACGATTCCTGAAAACAATAGATAAATATATGCCTCAAAAACACACCCGTGCTTTTGCTTTACACATCTTTTGTGAGTGACATCATACTTGACAGCAATGTTGATTTTCCATCGGCATATTTTGACCAATTTTGGCCTAAATTGTGAAAATGAGAATTTTGCACCCACCTAAAAAATACTGGGGAGATCACTGTTGTTTACATAAAGTTGCATTCATTAAAGTTTTCATGTTTTATAGGGTTGTGATTTGTGAAACAGAGCCAAACAGTGTAGCCTTTATCTATCCTGACTAAAAATTAATTTGTAGACTTTAAAGGTGTATTTCATTTTAAATTGTTTCATGGTTCATTCTTCCTGATCCCTAGAAAACAGAAAAAGTATATTCCCTTTTCAAATCAAATGGACATTTTTGCATCTTAATCACCAACTTCCATATTTGATGCGATATCCAAAACAAATTTCAGGTCATATAAAAAAGGATTGTAAAGAGAACATTGGCATAATCTTTGAAAATATTGTCGCCACTTTGTTAATAAAACTAGATTACATGTAATTATATTATCAATTAAGATATGCTGGTATGATGGCACTGTATTGCAATTATCGTTTCCTATACATGTATAAGCTGTAATACACATTTTGTACATTATACATGTACATACAGTGAAACCTGCCTTACTGCAACACCTTTGTAACCTCTAATACATCTTTCACTTGGGAGGTGCTCTACTAAAGAAGTTCATTCAGCATTAAGTCAATTTAAAATTGGTCACTGGACTCTGAAAAGTGTTTTTCTTACAGAGGTATAATCCATAGTCTAGCTACAAGACCTTGCACAATCTTGAGAAGGTGTTTAGTCAAGTAGAGGGGGGTACAGAGGCTTGTAGCAAGACTAGTATTCTACTTTATAGGTTTTACTGTGAGCATAATATTGCTATTGATGCTGTCATTAGGTACAACACACAAACTCCAAAAACATAATGACCTTCAAAGTCAAACATGTGTACACATAGAATATCCTGTACTGATATATGTACAATGGGGGTGTGTTAAGGTGTGTTTAGACCTATTAGATAATATAAATGTGGTGTTTACCACCTGTGTCACCAAATTGTTGTGTGTAACTATTTTGTAAAAGAAAGTTTGATTGATGCTGGCAGGTCCCAGGATGCAGGTGTTATATACATTTACATCTTCTTTTTAAAATACCACCTTTAGTAGTGACTGGACAGCAGAGTGACTGGAGTAAATGTTACCACAAAAACAAAACTAATTAAATAAATTCATGCTATGCTTCAAATCTAAAATAACATTCGTGAAAATCAATGTGAACTAGATAACACAACCTGATAGGGATTGGACAATTAAAACATACCCACTTATACAAGTTTGTCAGTTGGTAAGTTAGAATTTATTTTAATGAGAAAGGTTGAAATTGAAAACAAATGGTGGACGGGGGGGGGGGGGGGTTAGACTGTGTCAAAGGCCAATATAATAAATGATATGATATGAAAAAAATAGATAGGCCTAAATGTAATTTATTTCTTAACAGCTGATAATTCTATTTGTGCTGTATGTGCAACCTTCAAGCCCTAGACAAAGGAAATAAATGTTTTACAGGATTGTTTACGTTTTGTAGAGATGATGATGAACGTGATTCTAAAAATGACTCATTTTGCATTTTTTGGAAATCTTGCAGCATTAACCTATAATTTGAGGTAACATAAATGAAGCTTAAAATTGATGAGAGTTCCTTGACTTCCCATTTTATATTTGACCTTACAGACAGCCAATGTCACATTGAACAAGGTGTGTATTTGGAGGGCAATCAGCTGTTTTCCGACCTTCATTCAATGTTAGCATATACTGTAGTAACATGTGAAATCACAGGAAACCTTGGGGAAGGGAGTCAGTTTTGTTAGAAATCTACTATTACACTATAGACTGAGAAGCTATAAAAGTTGTGTTTAGTTTTAGATTTTGAATGTTGTCTGTAGAACAGTAAACAATATCAGCTGTGATCTGTGAGGTATCAGGTATGATATACGTATAAGAAATCAGTTGTGATATTTAAGATATCAGCTGTGATATTTAAGGTATCAGCTGTGATATTTAAGATATCAGCTGTGATCTGTAAGCTAAGTGGGATTTGTAAGAAATCAGCTGTGATATATATCATATGTGATATTTAAGTTATCAGCTGTGATAATTAAGAAATCAGTTATGATATGTAAGGTATCAGCTGTGATATATAAGGTATCAGCTGTAATCTATAAGAAATCAGCTGTGATATGAAATATATCTGCTGTTATAATCTTGGATATCAGCTGTGATATATGAGAAACCAGCTGCTGTAATATTATAAGATAGCAGCTGTGATAAATAAGATATCAACTGTGTTTTATAAGATATCAACCATGATATATGATATCATCTGTGATATAAAAAATATCATTTTGTCAGCTGTAGTAGGTAAAGTGCAAACACCTTTCCTGAACCTTCACAGTGTTCTCCATCCACAGGATTTTTTCTCAAGTTGGTGCAAAATTCTCATTTTCTCATTTCAGACCAAATTGGTCAAATTATGCCCATTTTACATGATTTTTCTCATTTTCAAGTGGGTGCAAATGGATTTTCAGGTGGGTGCAACCCTGTTTTAAAATCTCAGGTGGGTGCTGCTTCCACTTTCTTCAATCCTGGGGACATCACTCATTCATTATGATTGTTCACAAGTGAGCAAAATTTTGGCTTGTATCAAAGAGTACATTCATATTGTACTTTGGCTTATTGCTGATCTTGACCTTTGAAAATGTCTAACTAGTAAACAAACAAGGTCAACAACCAGGGATAGTACACTATGTTTATTACATGTGCTCATCCATTATCTAGTACTAATAGACTGATATTGTTTGTAGAAGATGTTTGAAAATTTCAAACTTTGCTCTCTAAGGTTAAAGTCTCTATCAGATGTGTGTTATGGTGTAAAATGCACTCATTGAGATTAGACTTTGTAATGTTACATTGATATTTACTTGTTATGGTAAAATTCCACTCAGACTTGTATAGACTTTGGCATGTTGTTTTTTATGTCACCACCAAAAAGTGGTGACATATTGTTATGGTCTTCATTTTTTGTGGCGGCGGCTGGCATCTGTATCAAATCTTGGCGTCTGTAACACATTCTTAAAACTTCCAATAACTTTAACAAATACTGTTTAGACCGACTTCAGTTTTTTTTCAAAATCATCTTCAAGTTTTCAGAAGTTCAAATCTGATTTTAGATTTGACCTTCTCAAGGTCAAAAATGTCATAAAGTCTTTTTTCAACTTGCTTCAAATTTACCAATTTTTTTCAAAATCATAAGTTATCAGTAGTTCAAATCTGACTATAGATTTGACCTTCAGTGACATTCTCAAGGTCAAAAAAGATTTGACCTTCAATGGCCTTCTCAAGGTCAAAAAGGTCTTTTTTCATCAACTTGCTTTAAATTGACCTATGCAATTGTGTTTTCAAAATCATCTACAAGTTCTCAGAAGTTTATATCTGACTTTAGATTTGAGATTTCACCTTCAATGACCTTCTCAGGTTCAAAAAAGGTCTTTTTTCAACTTGCTTCAAATTGACCAATTTTTTTTCAAAATCATCAACAAGTTCTCAGAAATTCAAATCTGACTTAAGATTGAACTAATAATATTGTGAGCAACTAAGTGGTGACATTTTGTCATGTTAATGCCTTGTTTATTTTATTTTTTTTGAAGTTTCAGGCAGTGCAATTTTAGAGAGTAGCTTTAGTGTTATGTATAAGGCAACAGGCAAAAGTATGGGTCATTTTTGTCAAACTTTGAAGGGGTCTAAATCTGAAGTTTATTATTGCATATTCAAGGTTTAATATAAATATTTTTTATACCGTTGAGGGAACACCTCTGCATCAATTATGCATAATATCAAAATCCATATTTCAAATATATGGCAAACTCATTCAATAAACTCATCAAATTACCCTATAGTGCAATGGAGGTCTATAATCTGCTATTCTGCTTTTTTATTATATGTATAATATCAACATGTCAGATAAGGTGAAAATGCTATCTAAATCTGTTCTTTCCATTTTTACTTTATGAACCACAGTGGTTTAAATTGTTCAAATATCATATTCACCTTTATCTTAGTTTTTATTTTGTTTGTTTACAGTGTTAATGACATGGTTGAGAGGTACTCATTTCACTCATCTCACAGTAATCAAACATCTTTCAAATCTTATGCTACATGTGTAACTATAACCCAGACCAGTTGAAAAATATTCATCTTTTTGAATCATTGACAAGATGGAGTAGTTTCATCTCAATATAATGATACTACGGTATGTTGATATTTTTAATTCATTTTTATTGTTTTATCCTATGTTCATGGATTATCTATTTTTATGAAGACTTTTTATACCCTTTCTTTCTTTTATTCAGGTCTGACTTTTTAAGATCTAGAGTATGTGAGGGGATAGATCTCTGTGCCTTGTACATCTTGGCAAAATCATCTTGGAATTTTTATATGTTGATAGTCTGCTCAAATGTCAGTGAAAAAAATCATCTCATGGTCTATACTCTCCAATATAGAAGTGTAGGGAGAATTGTTACATGGGCCTATCTTAGACATATTGATTTTATATCACATCAAAATAATAGGCTTCACATTGCAGTGCTTGGTAAGTAACTAGTACTTGAATTGATATGATATTTTCATTTGAATATGTGATCTTGTAATATGTAAGGCTGGTTGGATACCTGAAGCACACATTGACATTTGAATTATAAGTTAATATGACTACATGTAGTAATTGCATTTTATGGAAAAGAGGCCAGGACTAGTGAATATTGCATTTTCATACTGATTCTAAATAATTTTCAACCGATATGTGAACAGAGCAGAGTTGAAAAGGATGGATACGGACATGCATTATTCTAATTGTCGAAATAAGAACTGCTAATTCTCACATTTGATTCTTTTGGACCAGTGTCTTTCAACAGTTAATATATAGATTTTAGATATTATCATTTCTAGCTGTCTCTGTCACTTAGCTTTCTCGAGGATTTCCCTTCTTCTAATGAAACGCAAGAAAGCACTAAAGGAATTATCCTTAATTTTTGTCATTGACCATATTAAGTGCTTAACAAGCCAGGCTTTATTAAGGAAACTATTAATCGATCACATGTAATTACTATTAACGTAGCAAGTATCAAATCTAGTTAATAATGCAAGAAGTGTACAATCATTAAGATAGGAATATATTCACATTGTGTATTTTGGTGCATGAATTTCATATTTAACCAAATTCTATACTTTAATTATTATGCTTATATAACTGAACACTTGAACACTGAGCGCACCATCACACTCAGTCGTCACTAAAGAAGTCTTTATTTCTGCAATTTTAGCCGAAAATGTCTGAATAAATATATTTCTGTATATTTTTTTTCTTAACCAGTAGATCACAGAGCTTACCATTATACATGTATTTATACATGAATGTGTTTATGTCTAAATTTTATACCATTGAACGGTAATACAGTATACAGTCTCAAATTTCCTGTAATGCTGACACTTCAAATAAGGATGCATTCATATTTCCCATTTTAGCTTTACATCATTCTTGTGTCAGTTTAATCAATGGGCAATGACTTTGATGACTAAAAGAAATAAAACTGAATTGATTTTCTTTGAAGTAACATTATTGACCTGTTGATTTGTTTACTCTCAGAATTAAATGTAAATTTCTCCACTTTTTTAAAGAAAATTAAGAAATTAAAACAGTCGAGCTAGTTATATGCGTGAATGTGTTTATGAATGTTAATATCTAAAGGAAAGGACCAAATAAGGTCTCTAGCGTTGAGTGCGCTGGGCTAGGTGCGGATGCCTTAACCGTGAGGTCATGAGTTCGAGACCCTTGAGCTCCCTGTGTTTAGTGTTTTATTATGTTGCATAATCTATGACATAACAATATGTTTGAAATGTTTATTAACCATAAATATGTTAATAATTTCAGGCTACACACACAATAAAAAGCTCCACCTAGTGTCAAAATGAAGGTACTACATCTTGCCTCCCGAGTTCATCAGTTACGGAGTGCCACCTCTCAGATATCCCAAAATGCACTGCAGTGTCGCACAGCCGCCCCAGGACTATGGCAGTTGCGATATAAATCTGGACAGCATGGGGATGTTAAACCAATAAAGAAATTGTTAGTCGCTAACAGAGGTATGTGGCATTGTCGCTTTATATGAATGTGAATATTATACAGGGTTGCCAAAAATGTAGGTTTATACAACAATCTGTAAACTGTAAATGTAAACCTACTTTTTGACCACCCAGCATTATACTTAAGTCTTGCATCAGGTCCATGTGTCTCCCTCCTATTAGATACATAACTCAATATTGCCCTGTGAAAGGGACTTGATATAAAACTAGATGGTCCTTTCCTTTAAATTTTATTGCATATTGAATCTTTTTCCATTAAAAACTAAGTTAAGTTAGTTACAATTATACATTTTTTTTTTTTATTGTTATCTCATCTTCATTTGGTTAAAAGTTAAACGGCATCTTCATGAACTTTCCCATATATTTGACTACATGTATATTGTAATCCTAATGACCTGATGATTTCATTATCATTTCACGTCCTGCATGCATGTGCCGATTATTCCTTTAGGTGAAATTGCTATAAGGGTATTTAGAGCGTGTACAGAAATGAATATCAAGACCGTGGCCATATACTCCGAGCAGGATCAGATGCATATGCATCGTCTCAAAGCAGATGAAGCATATCTTATTGGGAAGGGACTACCTCCTGTGGCAGCGTATCTCAGTATTCCAGAAATTATACGAGTTGCCAAGGTATTGTGAAGATTAGGTGACTAATCGAGCCTTGCTTTTATGGAATGATTTTCATGAAGGAAAATGAATGGTATATGATTGTTACATACTGATTATAGAATTAGAAATCACCTGATGGATCTTCGATATTTCATTTGCTTTCAAGCTTAGTTTCTATAAACTTCCTGTGAAAATTATTCCATAAAATCTGGAAAGGGCAACACCTCGGGTGAGGTGACCAACTCTAGTCCCAAGCTTTGGCTATGGTTTTCTCACATACTGTGTTTGTGCTAGCACAATTGTTTTGGAGTGTGTTTTTGTGTGTTATGTTTGAATTAAGCTATTCATAGGCTTAGTTCATAGTTTACACATGATAATATATATATCAGGTCATATCTAATAAACTGACCCACAGCTCAAAACACATAAAAATTTACTTTTCCAAACATTTGTGTGCTACGCACGAACATAAGTATCTGACGCAACCATACCCTTGCTTCCCCTCCTCCCACAAATTAAATCATGCATAGTCCTAAAATAATGCACTATTACTGTATAGGTGAGATAGCCATAAGAGTGTTCAGAGCTTGCACAGAGATGGGCATAAGAACAGTTGCTGTGTATTCCGAACAAGATCGTAAACTTATGCATCGTTTGAAGGCTGATGAGGCCTACCAGATAGGTGCTGGTTTGCCACCAGTGGCTGCATATCTAAACATCCCAGAAATTATCCAAGTAGCAAAGGTTGGAAGAATATACTTGGCATGTGTTTTTATGTCACCACCACAAGTGGTGACATATTGTTTTGATCTCCAACATTTTTGTGGATGGTGTTCAGCATTCGGTATTAATTGTAAAGTGGTTGGCATTCGGTGTTTGTAAGAAATGACAGGTGGTGACATTTTGCATGTTAATGCCTCGTTATACATGTTGTTGTGAGCTTCACGTTTGCAGCTATGGCCAATGCTTCTGCTTGTAGAATTCTGTTTTTTGAGAATTCAGATTTGTGGACATGGCACAATTTCTAAATTTGCAACTGCTCAGTACATGTACATTATACAGGGTGATCCAGAAGTATCGTCAAAGATGTTGTAATTTCAAAAGTATTCATCAGATCTTCATGAAATTTGGTATACATGTACCCACAACATTTCTGAGTTACCATCTCAAAGATTGGAATTCAATCATTTCATTGGTTGAAATTATGGTTGCTATAGTAACCCGATATCGCGTAACCCGGGGCAAATTACTTAACGTGTAATGCGTAATCTCAAAATATCAACAAGATCTGAAATTGTTATATCCTCAACATTTTATTTCACAACAATATAAATCATACTATTGCACAGTTACTAATAATAGTTCATTCTACATAATTGCCACCATTTGCAACACATTTCTCATGTCTGGATACCCATTCCTTGAACACAGAATTAAATCCATTAGAACTCATTCCTTGTAGGGCTAGTACTACGGCATTTTTCAATTCCTCACAGGATTGAAAATTATTTCCACTAAGGTTTCTTTTTAGTTCCCCATACAAATAAAAGTCACTGGGGGCAAGATCAGGTGAATAAGGGGCATGTTCAAGTTGTTGAAATCCAAGTGTTTGGACTGTGTTGCTGGTCAGGATTGCAGTGTGCGTAGGGGCATTGTCCCAATGCAAGATAAACTGCTGCAGATGTCCGGGACGCTTTTTCCTCAGGGAACGTTGAAGATCACGCTTCAGAACCTGAAAAACAAATGTTTAATGGTTGTTAAACCAGTTGTTTCATTGATTGGATTTGGATTTGAATCATGGCCATGGAGTTATAATTATATTGACAGTGAACAACATTTAAATACTTTAATTTAAAAATAAAATTCACAGTATGATGTATTATTAGAACAAATGATATCTTACCTTTGCAATGTAAACGGCATTAATTCTCTGGCCAATGGGAACAAAATGGGTTAACACCATTCCTCTAATGTCAAAGAATGTCACAACCATTTGTTTCTTTTGTGGAATTCCTGGTACTATTTTAGGCTTGGTTGGTGTTGGGGAGTTGTCATGTTTCCACGATGAACTTTGTTGCGTGGTCTCTGGGATGTAGAATGATAGCAATGATTCGTCACTCGTAATGATCTTGTTAAGAAAGTCATCTCCATCTCTCCGATATTTTGCAAGAAAGTCCCTTGAAGCCTTAACACGCCGGTCTTTCTGCTCCTGTGTCAAGTCATGCGGCACCCATTTAGCAGACACCTTCTTTAACAGACAGTTCTTTGTCAGTATCCGTTGCACAGTCCCATAGCTCAGATCGTGTTTTTCAGCCAATTCTCTGATAGAAATTTGCCTATTGTCCATAACATCAGCTTCAATTGCTTTGATGGTTTGATCATCGAATGACGACACTGGCCTGCCTCCTCGCTGCTTGTCTACCACTTCATCATATCCACTGGAATACTTGTTAAACCACCTGTAAATGTTTCTCTCAGCAATGGCAGCTTTACCATATGCCTTCTTTATCTGTCTTATAGTCTCTTTTACACCTTTCCCCAACTTTACACAGAACTTAATGTTTGTTCTTTGCTCTATTTTACTCTGACTTGGCGCCATCTTGAATTGGGTGGGTTAGTGTCCTTGGTCATGTTAGTATTTGTCATGGATGATGGAAGCAATTCAAAGAAATTGAAAGCTTTTTATGAATGCCTATTGTGACATCACAACTATTACATATTTGTTACCATGGCAACAAATATAAAAATCATAGAAAACAAACAATGAACATTTTCAAATGTTACTGACTTTTTAAATTAGAGAAATTCACAAAAACGTTATGGTTTCTCTTCAATTTGCCCCGGGTTACGCGATATCGGGTTACTATAGCAACCATAATTTCAACCAATGAAATGATTGAATTCCAATCTTTGAGATGGTAACTCAGAAATGTTGTGGGTTTTCATTTCATTTTCATTTCATTTATTTATTTTCAAACATCTGGTGAAACATACAGATAAGGCGGATGACACCCTAATGGGCATATTATCCGCACAGAGAAGATGAACATGACAAGCAGTGTTGTGTAAATTATGTATCTCCAGCCTCGCACTCCCCACCCCCATCCCCCACCCGTCAGCATGGTCTTAACAATATGGAAAGTAAACTGGGTTGCCAGTTACAGTCTCTGAGCAGTATATTCGAATAAGGTTAAGTGCTTTGAAAAATGATAGGCGATGATATATGTTGGCTTTGCCAATTAGATGATGGAATAAAAACAATGAGCAGAAAAAGAAAGAACGATAACAATAGCTACTAGGTAGACAGCATAAGTGAATAGCTAATTGGAGATTGTTATCATTGATTGATCAAAAATGACTTGATCTTTTTCTTGAAAAGAGGTATAGAGTTGCACTTAGTAACTTCATCAGGTAATATATTCCATAAATCTGGTCCCTGCTTACTGATGGAATATTTGCCAATGTTTGTTCTAAAAGTTGCTGATCTGAGTTTGAATTGTTGTCTAGTCTCATGTCTATGAATAATATTGTTTGGAGTGAAGTAATAACTGAATTGGTTTTTGGATGTTGGGTCAGTGCCTTTGATACATTTGAAAAGATATGTCAGGATACTGACTTTAAAAATTTGAAATATATTAAGAATGTTAGCATTTTTGAAGAATGGTGCTGTGTGATCTCTTAATTTACAATTTGTATCATATATTCTTATAAATTGTTTTTGCAAACGGTGAATTTTATTTAAAGAAGATGGGGAAACGTTCCCCCATACAATAAGGTTATAGTTTAAATATGAATAAATTAAGGAATAATAAATATGTTTTAAACTCTTTTTGTCTAAAAGGTGTTTGACTCTGTGAATAACTCCCAAAGTCTTTGAGATCTTCGTTTCAACATAGTTAATGTGGGCTTTCCATGATAAATGTTCATCAATAAGTGTTCCGAGGAAATTACAAACTGATTTTCTTTCGAGTGGGACGTTATTCATTGTGAGATTGACTTTGCTGTAATCTATTTCTTTTTGAGCAGTTTTGAAAATAATGAAGTTGGTTTTGTTTGGATTGAGAGCGAGTTTGTTGCATTTAAACCATTCATTTATAATAGATAGCTCTTTATTTGCAGTAGAATTGATTTCATCAAGATTATCACCAGAAAAGAGAATATTTGTGTCATCTGCGTAAAGGAACATTTCTGCTTTCTCTGAACATTTGTAGATATCGTTAATGTAAATAATAAAAAGTAATGGGCCCAGTATTGTGCCTTGAGGCACTCCACAGGTAAAATTGGCTATATCTGAGGTTGTATCATCAATTTCTACAATTTGAGATCGATCTGAGAGATAACTTTGGAACCATTTGAGAGCAGTACCTCTTATGCCATAGTGATCTAGTTTTTTCAAAAGAATAGTATGGTTTAAAGTATCAAACGCTTTTGAAAGGTCACACATAATTCCTAAACAAAGTTTCTTTTTATCAATAGCAAGTCGTACGGTTTCAACAAATTTTAAAAGTGCCATGAAAGTTGAGTGATTTTTCTTAAATCCGTATTGGTGGGCATAAAATACATTTTGTTTTTCAAGGAAATCAAAAGTTCGAATATATATACATTTCTCAAAGATTTTTGAAAAGACTGATAAGAGAGAGATAGGTCTATAATGGTTAAATACATCTGTTCTGTCTTTTTTGTGGATTGGAATTACTTTTGCGAATTTAAGTTTATCTGGAAATACTCCAGATGAAAATGAAAGGTTAATAACATGCATAATTGGAAAGCCTAGAAATTCACTGCATTCCTTTATAACAATAGGTTTAAAATTATCTGGCCCAGCTGCTGAGTCAGATAGCTGCGTGATAATTTTAACAATTTCTGTATGATTGGCTGGAGTAAGAAATATGGAATTATTTACTCTATTCATTTTATTCAAAAAAGTATCAGGTGAATAGTTGGATTGTCCTACATTTTTTGCACAATTAAGCCCTACATTTGAAAAAAAGTTGTTGAATCCGTTGGCTATATTTTTCTTA